AGGAAATAGTGACCTTAAGTGACACCTTAGACCAGATGGAGTTAATCTTTTTAGAGGATTTCACCCACAAGCAGAATATACATTCTTTTGAAGTGCACATGGAACATATTTTCAGGATAGACTACATTTTAGACCAAACAAGTCTCAATAAATTTAAGAAAACTGTAATCATATCAAGCAACTTCTCTCATCACAATGATATGAAATTAGAAATAATTTCCCTGATAGTGATGTTGAACATATTTTCATGTCTATTGAGGATTTTTGCATCTATGTTCATGAAGGATATTGACCTATAATTTTCACAAATCAATTAATGTGATACAGCACATAAATAATATGAAGGATAAAAGCCATGTGATCATATCAATAGATGTAGAAAAAGCATTTGACAAAATCCCATATCCAGTTATGATAAGCACTCTCAGCAAATTGGGGGATAGAGTGGATATATCTCAACATAATAAAGGCCATACATGACAAATCCATAGCTAACATCATAAATGTTTCTATCCCTCTAAAGTTAATAAAAACATATTTTAAAATAATAATCTATATATAAAAGCCTAAGCAATCAGCCAACCAGCCGGTAGCTATGATGCACAATAACCACCAGGGGGCAGATGCTCAACACAAGAGCTGCTCAGTGATAGCAACTTTGCAGGGTGCCCTCTCGCACTCCAGGATCCCTCAGGGAATGTCAGACTACTGGTTTCAGCCTGATCCCCACAGGCCAGGCCAAGGGACACCACCTGCCGGAGGGACCCCGCTCACTCCGCAGATGCCCTTCGAGCCCTGGTGTCACCCCAGGTGCGGCCGGCTGAGGAGAGATGGTGGGATGTTGGCTCCAGGGTGTGTCCGGCCCATCTCACCCAGTCCCACCCCACCAACCACCTTCTAATTAATTTCCTTTCAATGTGCATGAATCTGTGCATCGTGCCTCTAGTAATAATATAAATTAAAATGCAAAGAATAACTGAATAGACATTTTCCCCCCAAAGAGGACAAATGGCCAATAGGCATATGAAAACATGTTCTACATCAATAATCAGGGAAATGCAAATTAAAACCACAATGAGATATCACCTCACAACAGTCAGAATGGCTATCATCAATAAATCAACAAGTGTTGGCAAGGACATTGAAAACAGAGAGCCCTCATGCAACTGTTGGTGGGATTGTAAATTGGTGCAGCCACTATGGAAAACAGTATAGACTATCCTCAAAAAAATTAAAAATATAACTATCATTATGACTCAGTAATTCCACTTCCGGGCATTTATCTGAAGAAATCTAAAACACTAATTCAAAAAGATATATGCACCCCTATGTTCATTGCAGCATTATTTATAATAACCAAGCTATATGGAAGCATCCTAAGTGCCCATGGATAAAGAAGATGTGGTACATATATGATGGGATATCACTCAGCCATAAAAAAGAATGAAATCTTAACATTTGCAAAAATAGACCTAGAGGGTATTATGGTAAGTGAAATAAGTTAGACAAAGACAAATACCATATGATTTCACTTATATGTGAAATCTAAAAATAACAAAATAAATGAACAAACAAAACAGAAACAAACTCATATCCTAGAGAATACAGAGAACTAATTGGTAGTTGTCAGCTGAGACGGGTGTTGGGGAATGGGTGAAAAGTTAAAAGGGAAGCACAAATTGCCAGTTATTAAAATAGTCACAGGAATGAAAAGTACATTACAGGGGATATAGTCACTAATCCTATGTAAGAAAAGGCTGGTATGCAAATTGTCCCCTCATCTGTGAGTTCCACTGGAGGTTTGACCAGAGGATGGGGCCGGCCTGCCAACCACCTGCGGCCCCACCCCTACCTGTCCTGGCCCTATTGCCCAATCAGGGCAGGCCAGCCAAACCCCACCCATGCACGAATTTGTGCACTGGGCCTCTAGTTTTGTAATAACTATGTATGCTGTCAGATGGGTACTAGACTTACCAGGGTGATCACTTTGTAAGGTATATAAATATCTAATCACTATGTTGTAAACCTGAAACTAATATTATATGTCAACTGAATTTGAAAAATAAATTTTAAAAATAAATATTGTTTATAAAAATATAAAATAAAAAAATCCCCCCAAATAAAAAGAAGACTGAAATAAGTAAAATCAGAAATGAAGAAGGGGACATTTAACCAATGTAACAAGAAAACAAAGGATTTATAAGAGACTCTTATAAATAATTGTATACCAACAAATTGGATAACGGAGACACTCAAGATTGCATCCATAATTTAAAACCTCCTGACAAAGCCCAGGCTGAGACGGTTTTGCTGGAGAATTCTACCAAACATTTAAAGGAGAATTAACACCAATCCTCACACTCTTCCCAAAAAGCAAAGAGAGAACACCACTATGAGAAATGAAAACTACAGACCAATGTCCCTGATGAATATTGATGCAAAAATCTAACAAAATACCAGCAAAGAAAATTTAATAGCACATTAAAAGGATTATGCGGGATATTCCTGGAGTGTAAAGATGTTTCAAAGTACAAATATTGGTCAATGTAATACACCACATTAAAGAATGAAGCGGGGGGAAACATGATGATCTCAATTGATACGTAAATAGCATTTGATGCAATTAAACACCCTTTCATGATTAAACACACACTCAGCAAATCAGGAGTAGATGAAAGCTACCTCAATGTAATACAGACTATACATGAAAAGCTGACAGCTAATATCGTACTTGATGAAAGACTGAAAGCTTTTCCTCTAAAGAAACAAGACAAGGATGCCTACTCTCATCACTCCTATACAGCATAGCACGGAATCCCAGCCAGAGCAATTAGGCAAGAAAAAGAAAAGGCATCCAAAGCGGAAAGGAAAAGTGAAATTATCTCTGTTTACAGATGACATGATCTTATACGTAGAAAACCCTAAAGATTCTATACACAAAAAAACCTGTTAGAACTAATAAATCCAATCAAATTTAATAATATAAAAGCATCATGCAAATATAAGTTGCATTTCTATACACTAAAAATGAACAATCTGAAAAGGAAATAGAGAAAACAATTCCATTTACAATAGCATCAAAAATAATGAATACTTAGGAATAAAGTTAACCAAGGAGTTGAAAAAGTTGTACCTTAAAAACTGAAACACTGCTATAAGAAATTAAAGAAGACACAAATAAATGGAAAGACATCCTGTTATTCATGGATTGAAAGACTTTATATTGTTAAGATGTCAATACTGCCTAAAACAACATATAGATTCAATGCAATCTCTAAAAAGTGCCTCTTTTTTTTGCAGAAATAGAAAAATCCATCTTAAAATTCATATGAAGTCTCAAAGAACCCAGTCAAAACAATATTGAAAAAGAACAAGGTTGGAGATTGCACATGTCCTATTTCAAAACATATTACACAAAGCTACAGTCATCAAAACAATGTGGTACCATCATAAAGACTGACATATAGACCAAAGGAATGGAACAGAGAGCCCAGAAATAAACCCTCATTATGTGATCATCTAGTCTTTGACATGAATTGAGGAAAGGACAGCCTCTTCAACAAATTGTGCTGGGAAAACTGGACATTCACGTGCAAAAGAATGAAGCTAGACCTTTACCTTACACCAGATACAAGACTTAATTAAAATGGATTAAAGACCTCAATATAAGAACTAAAACTATATAATTTCTAGAAGAAAATGTAAGGGGAAAAGCTTTAGAACATTGGATTTGGCAGTGATTTCTCAGATATAACACAACACCAAAGCAAAGACAAAAGAAAAAAATTGACAAATGAAACTACATCAAACTTAAAAACTTCTGTGCATCAAAGGGCACAATCAACAAAGTGGAAAGGCAACACATGTAATGGGAGAAAATATTTGCAAATCATATATTTGGTACGGAGTTAATATCCAGGATTTATAAAGAACACCTTCAACTCAACAACAACAAAACAAACCTGATTATAAAATGGGCAGGGGGTTTGCATAACATTTTTCCAAAGATGATATACAAATGGTCAACAAACATATGAAAAGATACTCAGCATCAGTAATTAATAGAGAAATGCAAGTCAAAACCACAATGGTATTACTTTATACCCATTAGGATGGCTAAAAACAAAACAGAAAATAAGTGTTGGAAACATGGAACAGACTGACGAATCTCAGAGGGAAGGCAGGAGCGGGTTCAGGAAGATTAACCAAAGAACTTATATGCATCTATGCATTACCTATGGACACAGACAGTAGGCTGGTGAAGGCCTAGGATGGGGTGAGAACTGGGTGGAGTGGGGCAATGGGGGCAAGAAAAGGAGGACATCTGTAATTCTCTCAAAAATAAAGATTTAAAAAACAAACGAAAGAGTAGATGGCCCAAAGTGGCCTTCCCTAATTTTTCTGCTTACTTCTCTTAATATGAGAACCACAAAAATATTGGTGTCTAATTAGAAAGTTATTATTAGATTAGAGGTCCAGTGCATGACATTTGTACACTGCGGGGGGGGGGGTGGTCCCTCAGTCCGGCCTGTGCCCTCTTGCAGTCTGGGAGCCCTCTCGAGATGTCCAACTGCCGTGGAGACAGGAGAGGCTCCCACCACTGCTGCTGAGCTCGCCAGCCGTGAGCCCAGCTTCTCGCTGAGCAGCGCTCCCTGTGGGAGCGCACTGACCACCAGGGGGCAGCTCCTGCATTTAGTGTCTTCCCCCTGGTGGTCAGTGCATGTCATAGCAACCGGTCATTCTGTAATTCGGTCGATTTGCATATTAGCCTTTTATTATATAGGATGACATAAGAATTCATATAGAGGCTTATGTAGTAATGTATTCCTAACAGTGTTGACCACCATTCTTTCTATGTAAAAAAATGGAATAGTCTTCATCATAAGGTTCATTTACCTACTGGGTGACAGGCACTTAAATTCCAGAATTGTGAAATCTGAATTTTAAGACTAGAACTAAATTATTGACTAGAGAATAGAAGAAAAAGTCATTTACTTATAAAAACCATGCATATATTTTTTTTATCTTACATTTCTCATAGGAGAAAGTACATGTACATTCATTTTCCCATAATACCTAACAAGAAGAAATGCTTATTTCTTTTAAAATAGTTCAACTACTCACTAACATCAGTACCTGAAAATTTTTCAATATTTGTTAATATTGAAAAAAAATGTTCATGTTTGTTACCACTTCTTAAGAATGAAGGCGACCTGACTTCCTGTTTCCGGTGTTAATTTGCATCATGTTAGAAAGAAGGAATAGGCAGGGGTTCCAGGAAGGTGTGATGAGACTGAATTCGGTTTAGAAGCTGCTGTGCCACAGGCTTGAATTCTGTTTCCCAATGGAGTTTGTGATAGTTTTTTAGGTCGTGGTCAAAACTGCCATCCAGTGCTAGATCTTCATCTGTATCGGAAAAGTTAAAATTACAGCAATTATTTGAAAATATAATCCTATTTAATAAAGATTAATTTTTGATGGCAACTCATCCTGGGCCATCCCTAATTCCAACATGACACAGCTAGGATTTGTGGGTTAAAGGGCTTTTCTTTCCTGATTTTGTTTAGACAGGCTTTTTCTTAGAGAAGTTCTTTACTCTCTGTTCTTTTTTTAAAAATATATTTTATTGTTTTTTTACAGAGATGAAGGGAGAGAGATAGTTAGAAACATCGATAAGAAGGAAACATCGATCAGCTGCCTCCTGCACACCTCCTACTGGGGGTGTGCCCGCAACCAAGGTAACATGCCTTTGACCGGAATCGAACCTGGGACCCCTCAGTCTGCAGGCCAACGCTCTATCCACTGAGCCAAACTGGTTACTACTCTCTGTTCTTTACACATATTTTACAATAAGTATATTTTAGTCTCTTAATAAAAAAGGACAATAATCTTCTCAAACAATTCTAAATTGCATTGAGCTTTTATTTCAACTAATCTCCTATGTGTATAAATAACTCCCCATCTAAAAGTCAGGTCACAATTGCTCAGAACAAAGTATTAATAGGCCACTTCCTTACCTGTGCATTAAAAAAGTTAATTACTTCAGTGGTTGGCAGGTATAAAAGGAGTCAGGAAATCTTTTGGGAAAGCAGCACAGTTGCATTTGACACTTAAAATTTTACTAAAAATCAATTTGCTGTCTTCAAAGCAGCCTGGACATACTTCCTTAAAGAGACAACCACCCGGCCCTGTGTTCTGACCCATAACAGTGAAAAGTGGGAGAACCTGAGTATCCCAACGAGTATGAGAATCCCAAGTGAGTCCATGGATAATGCAGAAAAGCACTTGTAAAAAAAAATGCAAAATTACAATTTTAATTAGCTTCTTAATCCAAAGACATCCTGAATTCTGTAAACATCTCGAGTATATCTATCCGAGTAGGGAGATAAATGGCCACTAAGGCTTGCGGCTGGCCCGCCGCCGCGTTTTCGCTTGTTCACGGGGCCTCACACCCCAGGGGGAGCACTGTAGGAAGAGGCCCCGGCCTGCCGGTCAGAAGGCGGGCTCTGCCGCCTGCCAGGTCTGTGGCTGAGGTGGCCTTCTTCAATGGTAACCACTAAGTCCTAAAATGACAACAAATATGGCCACTTACATAATTTGGAAACTTTCCTCATGGGGCTAATTAAAATCCCTTTACAGACTGCTTCATTACTGTGTACACAGGTTGTCTGCACTGAATATTTCTGTACACTCTGTGCACTTGGGCGCTATGGGTGTCCCACCCAGCGTAAGGTAAGGGAGCCTGGATTCCAGCGTGTGCATTCCCCTCCTCTCTCCTCCTCACCTCTCCACCCAGTGGGCATCTCGGAGAAAAGTGCTGGGCAGATACTTCAGCAAGGCGCCCCGGGAGCAGACCTGGATGCCCTCACCCACAAAGGAGCCAGGCCTCGGGAGGAGGGCGCTGACAGTGTGTGACGCCTTCACCGGCCCTCCCCATCGGGCTCCTTATGCACCAGCGGGGTCTGTGAGACTCCGTGGTTTCAGAGTTCTAGGTCTTTCTCTTGATTTTCTAAGCCCTAAACTTGCATTTAGAAATGAATTCTCTTGCCCTTGCCAGTTTTGCTCAGTGGATAGAGCATTGGCCTGCATACTAAAAGGTCCCGGGTTCAATTCTGGTCAAGGGCACATGCCGGGGTTGCGGCCTCGATCTTCAGTAGGGGGCGTGCAGGAGGCAGCCAGTCAACGATTCTCTCTCATCATTGATGTTTCCATATCTTTCTCCCTCTCCCTTCCTCTCTGAAATCAATAAAACTATATTTTTTAAAAAATAAATTCTCTTTCCTAAGACACTTAGGGCTGAGGGCTACCCATGCCCCTCACAGTCCCTTCCTCTGCCCAGGCCTTGTTTAGAGTTGGTGGTTTTAGCAAACCTCTATTTTGATGCTTTAGAAAAAATATCTAGCCCGGCTGGCATGGCTCAGTGATTGAGTGTTGACCTATGTACCAGGAGGTCACAGTTCAATTCCCGGTCAGGGCACACACGCCTGGGTTGCAGGCTCGGTCCCTAGTGTGGGGTGTGCAGAAGGCAGCCGATGAATGATTCTCTCTCATCATAGATATTTCTCTTTCTCTTTCCTTCTCCCTTCCTCTCTAAAATCAATAAAAAAATTTATTTTTAAAAATATCTAATATCAAGACTATGTTACTTTTCTTGGGGCTCAGCCTATTATTAATCTATACTTGGACCCTATTAACTCTAAACTGAGTTAGACAAGATAATAAAAGTGGCCAAATAGCTACAGGTAAGAGAAAAGCAAGCTGAAATTTCAAAGTAAACACAGCAAATGCAATACATTTTTTCAATGCCATATTACACGAGGTATAAAAATGTGTAACTTTTGTAGTACAAAGAGTGGCAGAGACGAATGCAAGAAAAATTTAGATTTTATCATCTTTAAGCTTTTTTTTTTTACCAGGACTTAAGAAATACATATTACATTATAACTGTACACAAATTTCTCTACAAGTAAACAAATGTCTTATAATCGAATACTTATCCTTATGCGTGTTATCTAGCCTGATATTTTCTTCTTTGCTACTTCATTTGTTCAAGATGCCGGTCACAGGGTGAAAAGCACGGATTTAGAAAAGCAATCCCCCTCAGCGCTCTGTGTGCCCAGCACACTTCCAAATAAGAGTGTTTCGGGCAGCGTATTAGAGAGGATCAACACATTGGTCAGGGGTCCCTGGAACAGTCTCCGTAACTGACGTCTCACAGCATCATTAGGAGCTCTCAGCTTGCTGCTCAGCACCAGGTAGCTCCTTACAGGCCCTGCTATTGCCCTATTTTCTTATAAGGCCCAGTCCCCGCATGTTCGGGAGCACCTGCTGCTGGCCCTTTGGCTGGACCAGGGGACTCTCTGACTTGCATGCTGGGCCCCACTCCACCCCTTGCCGTGCACCCTAGATGCTAAGTTCCATGTACCTCATCATGACCATAAAAGCCCAGCGCGTTTTACACTCACAGTGACGGCCTGCACACTCTGGCCGCCGGTTGCCCTCTCCGCTGAGAGAAGCCCCTGGTGGAGGAGTGTGCTAGGGCCCAGCACTTAAATCTTGAAGGTAAACACGCTGCTAGTGAGTTTACAAGAAGTGATGGTAATACCTCTGGAGGTTTTAGACAACATTCTTTTTAAACACTTTCCAAAAAGACTGCCAACATCCTGGCATCCCAGCCATGTAGTGGACCATTACTTCATCCATTTTTTTCCCCCCAGTACCCATCAAGAAAAAGTTGGGTAACTGATATTGATTTATGAATTGCCTTGCCATTATTTCTAAAAACAGTGCTCACACTTCAACAAGACTCTGTTATTTAACAGCTCATCCTGTTTTCAAAATGGCCTGTTTTTTAGCTATCTTTGTAAGAAAATTGAAATTCAAATACACTCTAGACTTCATATACATTTGCTGCCACCCAACCGACAGGCCAGACACAGCTCCCACCCTGTCAGAAGCAAGGGGTCTGAGGTCCACACTGGGGAGAAGAAAGCCAGGCCCTCAGGGCATGACCCCGTGAGAAGCCCTGAGGCTGTGCTGGAGTCCGGCTGCCTGATGGGCTGTGTTTCCTTTTATGAGCCCTGCCACAACCCCTCCCACGGCAGGGTAAGGGGGCACCCTGCCCTGGAACAGCAGAAAAGCACAGGGCCAGGTGCTTACCTTCTGATGGGAAGTCCTGGCTTTGCTACACTCTGACCCTAGGCCAGTCACTGAACCCTCTCAGACCTCCCTTCCTCTCCTGTCACCGAGCTGATGACCTCAGAGAGATCGTCTGAGGTTAGAACGAACGTGCTTTTGAAAGTCGACAGCACTATTAAAACAAAGGCACTACTCACGTGAGTCCATCCACAAGCATTTACCAAGAACCTACTTGGTATGAGGCAATATCCTTTCCCTAAACTGGCCCAGCTGGAGTGGGGAAATAAGATAAAAGACACAAAACAATAGCACAGGAGAAGTCACACAGCTCAAGATTAACTGCTATATGAGTACAGATTTCCGACGATTAGACAGGGGGCTAGAAAAGCTCTCTGAGGAGGGCCTGGCAAGGCAGGTCAGGCATGTGCACCTTAAAGGTGCTGGGATTGGGGAAGCACACTTGGAGGCCGACGAGGCTCTAAGGCAGTGGTTCTCAACCTTCTGGCCCTTTAAATACAGTTCCTCCTGTTGTGACCCAACCATAAAATTAGTTTCGTTGCTACTTCATAACTGTAATGTGGCTACTGTTATGAATCATAATGTAAAATCTGATATGCAGGATGGTCTTAGGCGACCCCTGTGAAAGGGTCGTTCGACCACCAAAGGGGTCGTGACCCACAGGTTGAGAACCGCTGCTCTAAGGGGAGGCTGAGGGTGGGGTGTGGTAGGCCCGCTGTCCCCAGGCCTGCTGGGTGTGCTGCCCCTGCCGAAAAGCCTGCCATGCCCACGCCCCCTTCTAAGCATCCTTGTGCCCCATGGCCCCTCATCCCCGTTAGTTATGGCTGACTGCCCAGACTTAGGTGCCAAAGGAAGCCACAGAGAGCCTGTGGTGGAGGCAGCCCTACGGCCTGGAGAGCGACTCTCGCACCCAATCACACCTTCTCCCCAGATGGGGGACAGGGGATGCTCCCACAGCAGGGCAACCGCAGTTGCACTCGCTGAGAACAGTAAGGTAGTTGAAGCCCTGAATCAGCAGGAGCCGAGAGGGACAGAGTGAGCTGGGCCTCCCGCAGGGCAGGGCGATGGAGCCTGCCACGGAGGGCCCTGGGGACTCTGGATCCTCCTAGGGCACTCCCAGGGGCCCTCTGGCAGGCTTTGGCACCCTGCTGGGTTCCTGGCTTCCTCCTCGGTGCCCCCTTCCCTTTAACTCATTAACCAGGGCACAGGTTCTTCTCAACCCGGCCAGCCGCATAGCAGACTCACCTGTGAACCTTGTGACAAACAGGTTATGGACCTCTCCCCAGAGCTCCCGAATTAGAGTTCCTGGGGATGGGGCCAGGATAAGTGTGTTTTTCTTAAATTCCGCAGCGGATCCCACTGCTCCACCACAATGAATGAAGAACTGAGTGAAAGCAAGTTGCTCCGGGCCACAGGGCAAAAGCATAGGGTCCAGAGAGCAGACGCAAACCTCGGGGATTTAAATCACTCTCGTCTGTCCTTACCCTCAGACGCACAACATCATATTTATCTGGAAGGCAGCACACCTTCTAGTGCTAAGTTCCTGTTTAACCCCGCATCGTTACAACACTCAGGATTTACAAAGCGCCTTCACGACCACGTTTCGAGGGCTTGCCCCCTGTCAGGCTCTGTATCAGGCTCTTTCTACAGGTCAGTTCATTTCTCACCCAGCAGCTCTGCGAAGTGGACACCAATAGACCAGGTCCTCTCAGGCGAGGGAGGCTAAAACCTCTCTGTGGAAAGTGCCAACACGGGGACTTAAACTCAGAACCCTGGGTCTCTCCCCTGTGCTCTCAGATTGTGTTTGGTCCCCGTGACTCCCTGCAGCCGGGCAGCAATGATCAGGGCCCCGTTTCAGAGGTGAAAAGAGGTTCTGAGAGATTCTCTCATCAAACGACGCCACCTGAACCCCAGCTCACGAACAAACGGCACCTTTCCACAGCCCTTGCCTGTGCAAAACTGGCTGGGTGAGGGCAGGCCCTTCTCCGTTGGGGGGGCGGAAAAGGGTTATTGAAAACACTCATCTACTGCCCCCAGTCCCTGTTCCCCTGCCCAGCATGAGAACAATTCTTGTAAAAAATGGGCATTTTAAAAATGGAAGAAGCTGTCCTCTTTCCTCCAGTGCGTATCAGTGATTTCCCACCTTCAGGGTACGGGCCCCACTGTGAGGTCAAGCAGTTTCAGACGCCCTGAGCCAATGTGGACCAGTAACACAGCTGCTCACTACCGTGTATAGTGTCACTTAGCAGCATGACTCAATTCAGAGTAGCTTTTAGCCACATTTTCTCGATTACAATGATGTGTATATACCTTTAAACAATAGAAGCTTATATTTGTGCAATCTATAGGAAGAGCAGAAAGAGAGAGAAGAGAAAAGCCACAGAAGAAAGCACAACAGTGTCCAGTGAATTAAGTTTTTGTACCCCCAATTGCAAATAACATTCAGCCCCTCCCAGATATTTCTAAATTATAATCATCTCTAACAGGCTGCTGTTGCTTGTAGAAATATAACCACCCAAATGCATACCAATCTTTAACCACACAGGGCACAGGAAAACAATCTTACTTGGAGAACACTTACAGACTCACAGCGGGGAGGCTTACCTAGGAATGCTGACAGCAGGACTAGGAGCGTGTTAGCGTCTTCATCTCCAAAACACGACGAGGCGTTCGTGGTATTTTCACTGAAGTTCCACAACGTTTTGCAAACTAAGCAGGCCAGCTGCCAGTCCGTCGGACCAAAGTCTCTCAAACAACCCACTAACCTGGGGTAACGGAAGTCAAATTGCGAAGTTATTAGGTCAGGCTCTCCTTAACTTGCACATTTCTAGCACAATGATCATTATCCTTCTGCATATTTATATGTAATGTGTATCATCCAGTGATTCTTTACAATATTTTCATATCTACAAAGGTAAATGGCTCCAAAGGCACCGTAATCTACTTCTGAATTAGTGTAAGGGTCCAATGGGACCCAAGTACCCTCTTCGGCCCTAACTCAGCTCTTCCAAACGCTGAAATCCTGCTGGCCTGGAGGAAGGGCCAGAGGGGCCTACACTCCTCAGAGAGCTGTGCCCTCTGAACCTGAGAGAGGCAGGACTCTGTGCCTCCACACTTACTTTTTAACGCCGCCTCCTTCCTTTAGGATGGCATGCTTGTCTTTATCCACGGCGAGGTTCAGGAGAACGCCACAGGCAGAGAAGCACAGGTCCTGATGCCTGGCGTCCAGCAGCGCGATCATGAACTTGTGTACTGGGAGGGCAGAGAACACACGCGGACCCGTCAAGCGGGGGTGCTCAGCTGTGGCTCATTCCCCCTCATTGAAGGGGAAAGGGCAAAGGGGAATGGGCGTGGCTTGCAAAAAACAGCAAACCCTGCCAGGGGATTTAACCTTTTCTTCCTAAGGCGTTGCTGCCCATAGCCCAGCAGTGACCTGCTCCCCCCGGCTCCTCTGTCCCCAGACAATGCTGGCCTGGCCCCCAGAGCGCTCCCTCTCACAGCTGCGGCTGCAGTCAAGTCCCTGCTGGTGGAAGGGAGGGCGCCATGGACTCCAGCCATGCAGGTGACGCTCATCTTTAACATCTCATGGGCCTTTTTTTAAAAAAAAATATATTTTTATTGATTTCAGAGAGGAAGGGAGAGGGAGAGAGAGATAGAAACACCAATGATGAGATAGAATCATTGATTGAATGCCCCCTGCACGCCCCACACTGGGGATCGAGCCCACAACCCAGGCACGTGCCCTGACTGGGAATCGAACCCTGAACTCCTGGTTCATGGGTCAAGCTCAACCACTGAGCCACGCCTGCCAGGCTCACAGGCCTTTGGAATCTCCAGCAGCATTTTTCTCTAAATACACGGCCCTGGCGAGGGCTCCTGATGATATCTTCCCCCAAGTCCTCCAGGGCCACAGAAGTCTTCATCAGAATCCTGGAAACCAGGCTGTGGCCAGGCAGGACTGCCGGGGCTGGGGACATCGCAAGTGAGGACCTCTCCCTGCCTCTGGGAAGCGGTTTCCCTGACTCCTGGGAATGGGACCCATTGTCTTATTTCCAGTCCCCAGCAGGGCCTGGGTCAGGGCTGGGGAGAAGGGATAGGTGTGTTTTCTGTCTCCTCCCTTTTCCTGCTCACCTGGGAGGTGGCCACCCTGTTCTGACCTGGGCCCCACGGACGGGCCCGGGGGTGAGCTTGGCAAAGGCTGCCTCACACACGTGTGTTCCTAAGAGTCCAAAGACCGTACACCAGGGTGGAGGAGTTAGCTCTGCGGAAGTGAGATGGTGCGAGACGGCCTGTGCTGCTGTCCCTCTCTGTCTCTATTATCTAAATTTTCTGCCATAAACATGGGCAATTGGGTATTTGTGGAAGAGAAAGGGGTGCTGTGATAAACCATCAATCCTTAACTGGGAAGGCCGTGGAGGGCAGTCACACCCCAGGCCTATACCTTCTTTCCTTAAAGGTTTTAAGCGAGGCCCTGTCCACTGGTCTGCTGCATCTAGGGCCACACACCTTTGAGATGCCAGAAGTAACACCCTCAGAGGGGTAACACCCTTAAGAAAGCATATTATCTTGTGGCCCAGTTCCCGCCTGGCTTTCTCCCATCCTCACCTAATTCTCCTTACACCCCTTCCTTACTTTCAAATGCACAAGAGAACCCATAAACTCGTTATTCTCAGGAGCATTTGAGATTTTGCTCCCCAGTGCATGGTGTCAGTTTGGCTCAAATCAGTTCATAAAAATTCTCTACAGATTTGGACATTTCTTACATCAACATATTTTTAGTTATTAATCTTACATGAGCTATTTGAAACATACAAAGGATGGCTAGTATAAACTCCTGTGTAACTGCCACCCAATGTAAGAAAGGTCTGAATTTGCAAAGGAAGATGGAGATCAAATGCATTCAAAAGAGAAAGGACCACTGTACATATGAAACTTTCTTTTTCAAGGAAGTAAACATTACAAATCCAATTTTATATATCTGGACATTCCTTCCCTTCCAAAGATAATTTCTACCTGAAATGTGGAGTTTATCCGTTTCAAATACCATTGATACCTTACACCATTATTATATGAGCACATGACATAAACAATACCCAAGATTGTTTTGCATATTTTAAAACTTGCCTTAATGGCATTATTCTGTATATATCCCCCTATCACTAACATTTTTGCTCCTAGCTTAGGTGTTTGAGGTTGATCCATGTTGGTCCATGAACTGCTAGTTCATTTATTTGTTGCTGTAGGACATTTTATGGCACGAATAAACCACAATGTGCTTATCCTCTTGCCTGTTGATGGACATTTAAGTTGTTTCCATCTTTTGCTATGACAAGCAGTACTGTAATGGGCATTCTAGTACTTAAAGGAGACAGTCTCTTGAGTAACTATTCCCAAGGACAGAAATGAGCAAATTAGTATAGATGACTTCCTCTCTCTCTCTCTCTCTCTCTCTCTCTCTCTCTCTCTCTCTCTCTCCTTTCTCAGATATCAGAAGACCTCTCATGAGGGAGAGGGAGCAC